CGTCACATGCGAAACGGAATTAAATAATCCGCATGCTAGCCCGACTCAAACGGTCGTCGGTAAAGGCTCGCCAAATCCGTTGAAGGCTGAGGGTTTGCCAAAAACCTTAAAGTCTACGTCTGATACACGTCGCTGTTTAGTCTTTTCACAGGAGAAAGACGAAGTCTACGTATTCAATATCGTAGCACTAAAAGAGTTAACTCTTTTAGCATAACGTTACATGCGGAACGGACTTAAACAATCCGCATGCTAGCCCGACTCAAACGGTAGTCGGTAAAGGCTTATCAAACCCGTTGATGGCTGAGAATTTGCCAAAAATTCTATAAATGCGAGTCATTGACGTATCAGCTTCATTAGTTGGTCTCATGACTTGAACATCCAACAAACTTCAGGATAAGATCCACACGTGCAGATGAATCAGCTTTAATAGTTGGTCCTGCAGCCCAACATTCGGGACCGTCACGCTCCAATGCCTTAAGAGCTTAAACTGTGTAGACTCCAGCAAACGTACGAGTATAAACTGTGTTAACGCCGGTCAACGCGTTACAGTAAAGATCGATGCCGGTCAACGCATCAGCAATTTCGCCAAAATAAGGCAAAAGATGACTCCAAGGATTTCAGTTACAATCAGATATGAATTTCTGACGGAGAGGATTAGTTCAAAGTCAACTCAATGGCACGAGCTAAGTTCAGAAACTTACACACCAATCTCAGTTCAAGATTTCGACAACGGTCAGACGATAAACGCAGCGCCGGAAGAACTTCATCTATTCGACGGAACAATGAATAGATTGAAGGCTGAAGAAGTTGAGAATTGAGGTAGTTAAAGGTCGCTCTATGAAATAGAGGAGATGGCCTATCTTATCCAAAGCATTCCAGACTCCTCTATAAAAGAAAGAGTCTGAAATACTTTGGAGGGGGTATCTGTAGGCGTCTAAAAATGCCTATGGGTGCCCGCACACAGCTCAAGACAAAGAGAAGGTGATGAACGTCGTTATCCGAATCAAAGAGGATTATCCAACGCCGACAAGCGCATGAAGCGAATCGGCAAACTGTTGATGACACGACAACGAACCACCGCAATGGAAAACACCAAGTGGACCGCATGCGTTAATCAACTCAAAGCGTACAAACGCACCCAACAGTCAGTTAACACGCACGCATCATTCAGCTCGTGCATGTCAATCAGTGCGCGCGTCAGTCAGTTCACGATGGCGTTAATCAACGTACATTAATCAACTCGCGTGGAGCATACAAGTCAACACGACGGATGAGTAAAACGGGAGAAACTACAAGTCCCGGAAGATCGGAAAAGTCGTAAAAACACAAGAAATCAGCGAAACTCAGCGCGCCGTGCAGGACGGACCAAACCGACCCGCGCCGTTCGGTTTTTGATGGTTTTTCTCGAGATTTGTTGGTTCCTGAGCATCCAAACTAACTAGATATCATCTACAAACGAGGTTAGGCTGTTATTGACTAAAGATAAGGCCAAATTACTTGTTCTCATCCAAATAACCGCTTCCGAAGCCCTATAAATACAAGCATAGGGCCTCCTTTCAGCAGGGGCGGAGTTATTATCAAGACGAGGAGGTGCTGCCGGATTGTGGAGTCAAAGGAGCACGAATTTCAGCGAGGGTTGACAGATCTTGGCGAGTTCTTCGGCATAAAGAAGGAGAGTTCGAGAGATCCGACGCCCGTTCCCGTCCGTCCCTTGAGATTAGGCTTGGTCTTAATCTCGAGAAGAGCCCTGATTTCGCTTGGTCGATTTCAGCGCTTCAAATCAAATACTTCCTCGGCGAAGGCGAAGCTCTGCCGAATTTTCCATCAATCGGATCCAGATCTAAGGCGGTCCACGGATAAACCCCGGCACAGGCAAAGATCCCACGCAAAGCAGCGGGTGATAAACGTCCTCTGCGTTTGTTTTGACGAGAGTTGTAAACTTTTGTTTTCATTGTGTAAAAGTCTTATAAAAAGACAACCTTTTTTTTGTTTTCATTGTAACGATCGAAGTTGTAATGAATACCGCAATGAATACAACAATTTTCGACGCAAACAATGTGTTTTGCTTGGTCAAAACACGTCTTAAAACAATAAGGGGCAATTTCATGCTGTATCACATTCCGTAGAACGGGGTATATTATCGCTTTATTTGCACGATGATGTACATTGTCCTCCGTGTGCGTAATACAGTTGAAATCGTCTCGCCAACTACGGGGTAATGACTCTATCTCACGAATCGGTGAGATAAGTTCAACGCCTCGTATTGCCTTAGAATATTCTTGTAATTGTGTCTAATAAATACGCATCATTTATATCAGTTTAATTCCCTCCAGAGGCGTTCTCCTCTACCGCGATGGACGGCCACCGCGATGAGGTTTACGCCTCTTCTAATGACCCAACGCTCATCCCGGCCACTCCCTAATTTGCTCCGGGTGGACCTGAAGAAATCCCTCATCTGGTGCGGAAGGGAGATCGTCGTACCTTACGACAATTGATCACCGATGCGCCACTTGTCAAGGATTCCAGTTCTACTCAACCCTTAAGAAAAACATATTACTTATTCGGCGACTTTGTTAAAGACCCGGCCACTGTAACTCTTGAAGTCGAACGGTGGTTAAATGATGATGGTGGCTTTAAATATCTTCCCCTGATTCCTCGTCGTCGTTCGCTGACTGATTTGCGAAGGCAGGCTGTAATACGGAAGATGTCGTGGCATTTGACGGAGGAACATACTCATGTCCATTGCGGGTATATCACCCATCAGATGACTCTGGACTCAAGTAATAGAAATCATATCACTGGACTACATCATGGGGAACTTATAGGCAATTTTGGATGTACTTCATTTCAAAGTCTTAATGAAATGAATGTTGGGCCGGAGTTATTTTGACTCCATCCTTTTTTCTCAGAAAAAGGAAAATAAGAAGAGGAATCTCTGAGTCTACAAATATCCATTAAGCCATCTCGCTTACAAATGCTTAGAAACAAAGGTTATGCCTTAAAAATGATACACAACCTGGCAACATCTATGACGAAAATGGACGAGAAGGAGAAGGCTAACCCTGTGGATTAAAAATTGGATATTAGAAAAGGATTTTATCCTCGCGGTTAGCCATAGCTATTATTCTTGCTTGTTATGGATAAGCATCCTGTAATCTACCATCTTTCAACACCAAACCAACATCAATGCATGGGACCGTCATACCAAAAAAAAAGGTAGGCAAAAAAAGAGAGGAAAGGATCATAATAGGGCCCTCCTACCACATGTGTTATCAAGCAAGACTATCCCTATATCCCCTGAAAGAAGATAAGGCAGGAAATGTAAATCATGTAGCCTGTACACCAAGGTTTTAAATATCAGTTATCGGGGATTTATCGGACGGCCAAAATCCTTATCGGATAGCGAAAATCGGGGATATATCGGGGATAAGTAGTATTCATCGGAGTGGTATATTGGATGATGTGTATATATAATATAACAATTAAAAAATATAATCTAATCATGCTTAATAAAATATAAACATACCAAAATGTAAATCATCATGTTTAGAATCACTAACAAATTGTAGAAAGCGAAACTTGCATCATAACCTTGAAAAAATATAATGTTAGTCAAAATGGGCCGATAATCCCGATAAAAAAGTCTTACTTATCGGCCGATAAGTGCCGATAACGTCGATAAATCTCCGATAAACCTACAAAAACGATAACCGATTAAAAATCCAATTTATCCTAGCGGAGAGCTCCCAAATCCGATAACTCAGCCGATAATATCGGTTATCGGCCGATATTTAAAACAGTGTTGTACACAAAGCATTGCCATGAGATTAGTGTAGGATTGGCAGGAAATGAGCTCAGGAGTCGATCTAGCAGTTTGGCGGTCGACCGCGGGTTTTGGCGGTCGATCGAATTTGTGCTCGGAGCTGGAGGTCGACCGTGGCGATCGACCGCAGAAGTTTCTGTAGTTGAGATGGTCGATCGCGATGGATCCAGGACTCCAGTAAGCCTCTGGAGTTGGGGCGGTCGACCGCGATATCTGCGCGGTCGACCCTCACGGTCAACCGCCGAAGCGGGTTTGGGCTGATTCTGAGTTCCAGACCCGTTTCGATTGGGAGTTGTATATATACCCTTAACTCGTTTTTAGGGTTTAAGGGAGAGGATTTTTGAGCTGAAGAAATAGGAGATTTGGGGCTTTTATTGCTGGAGCCATTTGGAGAGATTAAGATGGTTTATTTGTGGGTTTTGATAAGATTTGTAACCCTAATTTGTATTCTCCTTGATTTCTATTAGTAAAACTCCCCCTTCCTTGCTCCATGGACGTAAGCACATTGCCGAACCACGTAAATCTTGTATTCTTGCTGTGATTAGGTGTTACTTGTATTATTGTAGTCTATTATTGGTTCTTGTGTGTGCTATTGACTTGTCGAATCAGCTTCCGCGGCGCATAACAATTTGACCATGAGAATTGGTCCTGGGCGTAACGACACATCCCCACTGTTTCATTAATAAGGATTTAACGGAACATCCCAACCCAAAGCCAACAAAAATTCAACAAAGCATATGCAAAAAAGAAAACAAAAATGAGAAGAAAGAGGACCACTAAAAAACCCTATCAAAAAAAATGATATTTGCAAAACGGCCATCCATTTCTTATGACAAAAATTCAACAAAGCATATGCAGTAAGCGTCATCCATTTCTTATGATAAAAATCAACACGCTAGTACTAACTCTAAGAATCCGTGTTCACCGGCAAGTATATTGACCTTGACAGTATTTTTAAATGTAAAGATCATGGAAAAATCATAGCCGTAAATATAGTAATTGTCTACAGTTGAAGTCGAATGCAAAACGGCCAGTATATTAATTCTGATATTTATCAATTCCAACTGAAAACAGGGCGAAAATCACTACGGCTGAAAAGTTATTCTTCTTCTTCTTCTTTACATCAATATATTCACACAAAAGCTACCAATTAATTAGACGTGACAAATAATCTCACCGGAATTCTATCTGGGTACTTATCCCTGATTCTCGCCGCTTCAGCCCGTCTCTTCTCTACAAAATCGTAACGAAAATTTTTTTTCAAAGAATTGTCAAAACTCAATAACCCTAACCACAACAGCAAAAGAAACCCATATTCGAAAACTTTCGAAGGGCCAGTAAATTACTAACCAAAGTCATGCTCAAGCTTGAACGAACTCTTCGCCATCTCCTCCTTCAACACTACCATCAAAATAATATTTCTTTTAATTCCAAACCCTGAACAAAACGAAGAAATTTTTGGGAGAAACTGGAGAGGGAGATAAAGGGGGAAACCTGTTCCTTTTGCTTTAGGAATTCGGGGATTCCAAAACTCGATCGAGGTAGGTTCAAGATTTCTCTCTCTCTCTAGAAGTTAGTTTCTTATTTTTATAGTATTTTTTCAGAATACGAAGCGTGTCGTATTTGGACTTCAAAGGGGGAGCCTTGCAATTTCTCCCCTCTTCTTTATTTATTTATGGAAACTTAATTTATTATTTAAGGACTGCTTGGTTCATTTTCCATTGGGTTTTTTTTGGGGGGTCTCTAGATATATTTTCAAGTGAATTTCCTTTAACAAAATTCGAAATGTTTTTCAAAATGGAGTCAAACAAACCCATAAGAGTGACACCTTGCACTCTCTCTTGATTTCAAATTGGAGAACAAACAAAAGAATAGAAAATTTTATAGAAAAATAGGTTTCTCATAATATAGTTTCTTGATTTTTTAGAGCCGACCAGACAGTTTTGACCAAGGCTAAATACCCATATTGGTATTTTATTTCAACCTCATTTGTCAAGAAGGTATTTTAATTAAAAAAATCGGCGTTAAGGTATTTTAATTGAAGAAAATTACCAATTAGGTCTTTTTCCTCGTCGGCGACCACTTATCTGGCGAGAACTCGTCACGTGCGTTGCACGCGGTGGCTTAATCTGTGTTTAAGCTGCTGATGTGGCACTGTTTTCTGACCAACGCGGATCTTAGCTGGGACTCGGGGTGAACTCGGCAACGGCGGGGAGTTCTTTGAGCGGAGCTTGGAGCGACAGCATAGCGCCGGTGGTCTCCGACGGGGAAGAGAGGACGGCGACGACTGACGATGGTAGGAGGTGGTCGGGTCTCAAGTTGAGGGAGAAGGGAAGCTCGGAGTTGGGCTGGTCGGCGGGAACTTGAGCAGCAACAAGTTCGGCGTGGGGAAGCTCGACAAAGAGAGGAAGAGGGAGGGTCTGGGGGATGAAGGCGGGGAGTGGAGGGAAGAGGAGGAGATGGAGGTGTTGAAGTCGGGCTCGCCGTGGACAGAAGGGGGAGGAGAATGGAATTGCTATCGTCAGAGCTCGGTGATGGTGAAGGAGGCAGCGGGACAAGGGAGAGTGGCGAGGTGGAGGGGCTGGCCTGAGATGGTCGTGGGGCTGGTCTGCAAGCATGGAAGGGGGATGGGGTGGAGGCAGTGATGGCGAGTGTGGGGCTCGTCGGGGTTGACGACAAGGGAGAGAGGCGCTGGCTGTTGGAGACGAGAAGGAAGGCAGCGGCGGTTGGATCTGGAGCTTGGTGACGGAGCTTGGGTGGCTAGAGCAGAGGGGGTCGCCGGAAAAGTGGTCGCCGACGAGGAAAAAGACCTAATTGGTAATTTTATTCAATTAAAATACCTTAACGCCGATTTTTTTAATTAAAATACCTTCTTGGCAAATGGGGTTGAAATAAAATACCAATATGGGTATTTAGCCTTTTGACCAACAAAATTCCTTTATTGGTTTTAGAAAATCTAATTTGGCAATGGTAATGATCCCTTTCTTGCTTTCTCTTCTTGAAGGATAATTCAAGAAAAATGAAAATTGATGGCCCTTCTCTCCGCCTTTTTTGTTGTTGTTGTTGTTTTGTTAAATTGTCAATCTTATTTTATATCTTGGATCGCTTTTAATAAAATCTCACCCTTCTTTATTGTGCGTGCTAGATTTAAGGACGTGTATGTGATGATGATAAAACAGGTTATATCATTATGTTTTTGCTTGTGCTTCACATGATCAAAGACTTGTCAATTTATAAAAGCATGCGGGTGCTAATTTATAATTATATTGATTAGTATAGTGCATGTGCTTTGTACGAGAGCATATCTATTTTGTTTTATTTTTTTCAAACTTTTTTGCTGGATGTAATATAATGAAATGACTTGTATAGTAATATATATATGAATAATTATTTTTTTGTTTAAATGAATAAATTGTATGATAAAACCGTGCAAAGAATTGTATAATTAACTATGCTAGTTTGAATAATTGTTATAATTTATTAAAATAGTTATAATATATTAACCCTAAATATTTTATTCTCTTTTATATATAATAATAACATATATAGCATAATTATAATACTATTAGTAACTACATTTTAATTTCATAACTAGTTTATTACACTGTTAGTAAATAATTTACTGAATTATATAATTATTAAATTAAAGTGTAGTTTACTAATTTAAAAATACTATAAAAATTATTATACTATTAATGTTATTTCAATTATAATGAATAAAAATTATTTTTTATATTATTACCATACTTTTAAAAGGCTAATAAGATGAAAGCTAACATATAATCCTCCATAAGAGGTGAAACCCAAAGGCTGCTGAATTTTTTTATTTTTTTAGAATTTTAAATATTAGGTGAAGATAAATTGGAGGTAAATTTCAATCTTTCTATTAAACAACATAATTAAACAATAAAATAATAGTGTGACCACATGTTTTGAAAAAGCGGGGAAATGCATAATTAATAAGAGGTTATATATAATTAGTCAATGATTAATTACAACTAATGACATATTTGAAAAATTATCAAACTTAAAAGAGAAAAAATGAAAATTAATAATTTTGATAAGGCTATCCTCTTTTATATGTAATAAGTATAGATGTATGCTTAAAACTTATTGGAATACATGAATTCTCTTTGTAGATGTTTTTATGGATAAAACCTCACGTTTATCAATTTCGATTCAAAACCTATATTTGTTATTGGCCAATTCAAAAGCAAAAGCACTTTCCATGCATCTTGAGCAATTTAATCACCCAGCTCTGTACAATTATTTGCACATGAAATAGCTGTCCTAAGCGTCTTTTTACGATGGGGAAATTTTTAAAGTAGACTTTTCTTGATACAATATAAGCAAAATCGATCATTTTCCTAAATATTTAGCAAAATCGACTTTTTTTAGCCATGTCGCCAATACTGGTAAAAAAGATGTCCATTTTATATAAATATCATGTTTAAAATACACGAGACTAGTAGTCATGTGTATATAAGAATTGCTAATTAAGACCTTAGATCTAACGGGTCCCACAATACCCCATGCTGGCACTCAAATCCAACGGAGGTGCAGACGATGGTGTGTGCGGCCGTCGCGATGTGTGCAGATTACGGTGTGTGAGGCGTTGGGGATGCCACATGGGGGGGTAGAGGCAGAAGGAGACATCCTACTCGGTAATGGCGGCAGAGTCTATCATAGGGAACATGATGCCTGCAAAGCCCCAAGTTGA